TTGGAGTAACCAGGGAAACTAAGGTTGAGCAGACCCGTAAGGAGCAATCAGAAGAGTCGTGCATGGAAGAGTGAGACCACCCGATAAAGTAAATGGATGGGGGGTAAACATAAAGGAACAGATGAGACCAATCCTGGCTGAAGGCATCAACAGCCAAGGCTCGAGGATGGAGGACCAAGGATCAAACCTAGGTAACTTATTACTGACAGCAGTGGCAAAGGCATTGATATGGGGCATACCCAGATGCAGACAGAGCCACCAAAAAATGGCAGGATGCAGGAACCATTCCATTGGCTAAACTCGATCCAGTCGGGAATTACAATCGGCTATGAATGTGATGTGTGGAGAGCCCGATAAAAAAGATCCATAGTGCAAAAACATAGGGATCTGGACCTGGTGCCACATTGGTGTTTGACATAAGCCACCATAGTAGATTTGATGGATTGATTCATAACCAGATGGCGGCTGGCAAGAGAAAACAATTCATCCAAAGCCAGGCAAACAGCCAGGAACTTGAGAACATTGATGTGAAGAGAATTCACCTCCACAGATCAACGACCCAAAATGTCCAGATGTAAATCTGGCCACAGAGGAGGAAGCAGGACTCCTGCCAACATGTGAGCCCTGTTAAACCACCAGTGGAGATTCTCTACAAGGGATGAGAGAAGGGATATAGAAGTATCCATGGGATCCTGGGCAAGGTTCCATTGATTGTGAAAGACCCATTGAAGAAACTGCATATGGGTCCTGCCAAGGGGTATGTGAGAGGTCATGGAGGACCACATCCCAAAAGTGATAGAACCTTGCGAGCTGTAAGTGAGGGAACAGACAGTGATTTCTGAATGGCCCATTCCATAGAATGGAGCCAGAGAGGAGAAGGGTTGAGCCCAACTGAGATGGGTGTTGAAGAAAACACCCAAATGGATAAGGTATTGGGTAGAACAAAGGAAAGACTTATCCAAGTTGACCAACCAGCCCACACGTGCAGCTTCGGCCAGGAGCTGATGAGTGTGACAGGCTGATTCCCATTCAGAATGAGTAAGAAAAAGCCAGTCATCAGTATAAACATGGAAGTGCAACCTCATAGCACAAATATGTTGAGCAAAGGAGCAGCCCACATGAGAAAACATGTATGGTGCTGAGGCTAGGCCGATAGGTATGGCATGAAATTGGACAAACCAAAGATATGGAGGGGAATGCTCCATCACAGGTATGTATAGGTTAGCATTGGAAATGTCCACCTTGGTCATCCAAAGACCTGTAGAAAATGCCCACCGAAGAGAAATGTGTCTCCATGGTAAAGCAAGGAGTGTGAACATACTGATTGAGACGGGATATATCATTGACAGGACACCAGTCTCCAATCATCTAGTGAACCACAAACAGGTGAGGGTAAAACCCGATGAACCTAGTGAGCTGGTTTGATAGCCTGTTGTTCAATGAGGTCCTGAACTGCTCCTGACAGACACTGGCATGTCATGAGATCCAAGGAGAAGGGAAGGGAGCACTGGATAATGGCAGAAGGGAGAGAAAGGGGATAGCATATCCCTCCGAGAGAACTTTGTGAACCCAGATATCTGAGAGAAAAGGTCCCCACAGATGAATGAAATTCAAGAGACAATCTCCCACGTGGGCCCGAATAGACCAGATTGTACTAGTACTGCTGTTTACGGATCGTGTCATCAAGGCAATCATCAAACATTGGCACCAAGGGAGGATGGGACAGGAAGAGGTTGGAAGGGAAGGTCGGGGGCAGAAATCAGTTCCACACCACCCCCGACTGCATCAAATGAGCTACTGAGTTAGTAAGGGTAGAATGTTGATGGGCCGAGGTCACCTGCGACTCCAAAGACAGCACCATGTGGAGGCCTTTCAGATAAGAAGCCTGGAGATGAGTGTGCCAAAACCGCATCACAGCCCAAGAAGTCCCAACAACAAACAAACCATGTTTAAAGCACAAGAGACAAGGATGGCAGGGAGCCAATGTAGAAGTAAGGATAAACAGGAAACATCCTCAGCAGAAAACCTCCTCAGGGTTCCTGTTAAGAGCCTATGACAGAAGGTTGTAATTGATGCTCTAAAGACGCTTGTTGAGTCTAACATAAGGCAATACACTCGTGAAATGGCCCTGAAATTGCATGTTCTCATGAAACAATACGTAAACATCTAACAAATATGGGAAAACTACATAAAGATGGTGTTTGGGTGCCTCTCTGATGATAATCATTTCCAATGTGTGAACGTTGCTTTGTCTCTTCTGGCACGTAATGCGTGTGAACCATTTTTGGACAGAATTGTCACTGGTGATGAAAAATTGATTCTCTATGCAAATATTAAATGCCAAAAGCAATGGCTCGGTCCTAGACAAAAACCACTTCCGACCCTAAAACCTGGACTCAATTTGCAGAAAGTGATGCTTTGCAGTTGGTGGGACATTAAAGGAGTAATTCATTTCAATCTCATCAATCCACAGCGAACTATCAATGTAGAGATCTATAGTCAGCAACTGGAACATTTAAATCAAGCTTATCATCAGAAATGCCCTTCACTCGTCAATCGGAAAGGTTTTCTTCTTCTCCACGACAGTGCACGTCCGCATGTGGCAACTTTGATGCAACACAAGTTTATGGAGTTGGGTTGGGAAGTTCTCCCTCACCCACCATATTTTCCAGATATGGCACCATCAGATTACTATCTTAATGGGAAAACGTATGCAAATATGGAAAATGTTAAAGAAGACATCGATATATTTTTTGCTTCAAAGCCAAGTGATTTCTTTAATCGGGGCATTAACAACCTAATTGTAAGATTGAAAAGCATCATCGACAAAAGTGGAGAATATTTTATTTAATGTTTTGTTTCGATACACAAGTTGTTCAGGGTTTTTCAACTTAAAAAGCAACATTAATTTCTTGACGACCTACTAAATTTTGATGCCAATTTTATTGAGGTACACTAATAAAAAATTAATTACATTTTTAAAATAATTATTTAAAACATTGTGACATGCACCCTTTAACCTGTCAATAGCAAGAGAATTAATTACATACATTTCAATTAGTTTTTCTATGAAATGAAAAACTGTTATTAAATCAGATAATGCATTTCTTAAAGTCAGTTTTCTAGGCCATTTATGTGTTTTTCCATTTTCCATTGAAAATTTTCAAGATGCATGGTGACCCTGATTCATCACTTATCTGATTCTTCCTCAATTATTGTAATGGGGATGCAAATGAACTAAGAATTAGCCAATTTGTCAAAAGAGCCAACAATTAATAACTAAAAGAAATGTTTCTTTTGGAAAGAAAGTGCAGCAACAACTTACAGTTAAGGAACTGAATCTGTAAATGATAATGAATTATCCTTTTCAGTATCAAGAACAAAATGTAGTTAAACACAGTTCTTCTTTATTCACCAAACTGCTTGAGGGTCTATGGTTGCTGATGAAAGGGTCACGAACCTCAAAAAATTCCCATAAAAACAATTAAACAGAAGTCCCATCAATGTTGCAATTAATCCCACTAATTACTGATACAGTTCCCTATGTGTTGTACATGGATAGTGGGTGATTTTGCCAAATGTTTTTATCAGTTCTTCACATTTAGTGTTATAACTGGCAACATTATGCATTACGAGGACCACACTGTTAGTGAACAATACAAAAACAAGTTGTATATTTGAGGGTTAACAGTTAAGACTACTACAGTGTAAAAATAAATTTGTATAACGATGAAAATTATAAATTAGTAAACTAAAATTAAATTTGGAATTATCTTGGAAATAAGGAATTTAAACTGACAAAGTAAAAGAAAAATCATAAAACAGACAAAATAAACTTACCTCTATCTTTTTTACAAAAACAACAAATAATTAAAAAAAACTTAAGAAAACTCCAAAACAAAAGTAAAAAACATACGAAACAAAACAAAAACTTACCAACAATGATAATAACAATTATGAGAATTATTCCTATAATTATGGCCCACATCTGCAAATAAAAAAGCAAAGCAATTGGTGTTAACAAAATGAACAGAAATACAAAAACAAATAAAAGGTCTAGTAAACTCAATTTCAATGGATTTGAATAAATCACTTCAATAATTTTTCATTTCCAGTTGACCAAGGCTTTTCAAGAATGGATAATAATCAATTTATAGTCAAGAAATAGTTTAGGATGCTGTGACAGTTTACAAGATACTGTCAAAATAGGTCTATGTTAAAGTAATACAGCTTTTTAAAGTTTCATGGTTTAAAAATGAATAAAATGACCCAATATGTGAAAACTCTAGAAACTGGCTCTTAAATAAACTTTAAGGTTTGTTAGTTTCAGATATTCTTGCAAAGCTAGACATGTGATATCTGCACTAGCTGTCTCTAACTTTGAATTAACAGACTAGAGTGAAGGTAGCTATTTAAATACAGGCACCTCAGGCTCTCGGGCTATTTTAATTGGACAGTAGGATTTGACTATAACTCTTATAATGCACCCTTGGCTCAAAAATGCAAAGCAAAATGTTTACAGCATTAGAATGAGAACCATGGACCCTTGGATTCAGGGTCTGGGATGTTACCCACTAGGCCACGCTCAGCTCATATAAAATAATAACAGCTTAAACTGTAAGAATAGATTAGTTGGTTGACATCTTCCTTAACTATCTATAGCCAGTTAGGTGTAATATTACAGCTGGTATGGAGGTTTGTTTGCTTTATGTTATTGCTTTATACTAACTATAAGAAAAAGGTGGGATTATATTTAAAACTATTATTATAATTTTAAATATAAAAGAAGGCTTAAAATTTAAGAACTTTGATTTTTCATTAAGTTTTTAATGTTATTAGTGGTTTTACCCCTTTGACTGCAGCTGCTTTAAATAAGTGTGAAACTTTTGTGAGCCATACACTGTACACAGCACAATCACATTCAACTGCCTGAGGCAGACTGTACCCTATACAGCAAATCAGCAGTCAATGGGTTAAAAATGAAAATTTTCAAGGAAGAATCTATAATATTAACTAAGTCTAGGAAAATTTCTATTGTTTTGAATTTTTGCAAGGAAGTTCATGAGACACACCTCAGAAATTAAGTTAGTGTGTACTATTTTAATTAGATGGTATTCATCATAATTAAATGTGAAGCTACACAAAGGCGTACTGGTTATCATTGAACTTGATTGTGGTTTAGTTTTAATTTCGTGCAAAGCCATCCCTAGCTAGTCATCACCACTCACTGCCAAATCTTTGGATATTCTTTTACCAACGAATAGTGGGATTGACCATCATATTATAACACCCTCACAACTAAAAGAGCAAGCATGTTGGGAGGACAGGGATTCAAACCCTAGACCCTCAGATTGTGAGGCCTAACTTGCTTATGGATGCTAGATTGCCATGGTATGGACGTTGAAAAAATGACCAAGCATTTTCAGTGATTTTGTTCATTAAATATTGTTGTTTTTTTGTATTTACAGCAACATTTATGACAAAATTACACACCATCAAAAAGATTGGTACAAAATTTGAATTCTCAACAACTATCAAAATATCATGAAGGAAGTCAAATTGACACATTTTAGCCGATTGTTAGATTTCTCTTGTTTCATCATCAGCCAATATAAACACATATTGGCAAGTAGGCTCTCACCTGCAGAGACAAGATGGTGGTAATGAAATTTTAAAGCAATGTAATATAAACTAACACAAGCAACAAATTGTGGACGGCAAGGAACTATTTAATCCTTCAAGGTTGTCCTTGCACACCCACATTAAGTAAAAACTTAAACCCACCCTTTATTTTCAGAAATCATCAAATCCCCTCTTAAACCTTGTAAAATGTTGGCTTCCACTACTGCTGACAGCTACTTGTTCCATACATCAATCACTCTCATAAAAAAAAAAAATCTGCCTTAACTGTGTGTCCTGTCTTTTACAAACTTGTTCTATACCTGGAATCATCGTAGTAGCCCTCCCCTGAAACCTTTTCTATAAAAAAATATCCTTTTTCAAATAAGAAGACCAAAACCATACACAGAATTCAAAGTATAGTCTAACTAGTGGATTGTACATATTTTGACTTGTTATCAATATGTCTATAAATACTAGCAACAAAGCATTGCTTTCACAGCTTGAGTGACTTATCCACATTATGCCAAGACTTTTTTTTTTCAGGCAAGCTACTAATGAGTGGTTCCCACCTATATCAAATGTGATCAAATTATGATAACTCAAATGCATTACCTAGCATTTACCATAATTAAAATTGCTTTGCTAAATATCTGTCCAACTTACAAAATGATTAATCATGTTGTTATATGTCAAAATTCTCAAACAGCTAGAAATATTGTATATGCACAAAAAAGTTCAGTTTGAAGGAAAATTTTCTTTACCATTATACTGAAGTTTTGTTTGCAATAGTTGTTCTTGCATGAGCTGAAAAATAAGAGATTGGTTGTCTCTCAACAACACTGATTTTACTATGGCGTGACTGAAGGAATGTCTCATCTACTAATCACCAGTATAACATTCATATAAAAACTAGTAAAGTTAATTTAGTGCAGAAATATTTAAGAAAAGTTTATTCTATTTTATTTTAAAACTTACACTTTATTTATGTTTGTATTAATTGATATTAACTGCTATGATACAGTAAATTAAAACTCACTAGGTCCAGGTCTCATCACTTTCACTGACTGGATTTTAAACACACATATCTTAGAGGAAAATTTTTAAAGGGCATGTTACTTTTTTTACTTCCTGGGACTTTCCAAATATGTATTTTATACTTTGCTTAATATTCTATAAAATTTTATCCCCTGAAAAATGAGGCAGAATTTGGTTTAAATTAAATTAGTAGTTCCACAGATAATATCTACTCATCACTCTCATGACCTAACCATAGTAAAGACTGTTGCTTATGTTGCTCACCACATTAAAAACATAGACCTACATCTAGTATCAAGACATGTTTTTGTTTGAAAGCATACCAATAATATCAAGCTTGTACAAAGCAGCAGTAGCACTGTATTATCCTGATGATGACTGACCAATACCAGTCGAAACATGTAGGATGTTTTATTTTTTTACATATTTATTCATACTGTCATTGTTCTTTATTTTTATGACAAAACTACACAATGGGCTATCTGGACTCTGTCCACCACGGGACTTGAACACCAGATTTGAGCATTGTAAGTCCATAAACTTCCTGTTGACCAACCAGGTGGCCTCTGTCATGCTTATAATATTGAAGATATGTGGATTATTAATCAAATTTAGCATGTAGTTCTATTTATCCATTTCTAGTAGTTTGTTTTGTTTTGAATTTCGTGCAAAGCTACATGAGGGCTATCTGCACTAGCTATCCCTAAGTTAGCACTAAAGGGAAGGCAGCTAATGAACATTACCCACAACCAACTCTTAGGCTACTCTTTTACCAGTGAATAGTGGGATTGACCATCACTTTATAATGCTCCCATGGCTGAAAGGGCGAGCATGTTCATTGTGACAGGGATTTGAACCTGCAACCCTCACATTGCGAGTTGAGCATCATAATCACCAGGCCATGCCAGGTTGCCATTTTTAGTAGCACCCACATCCTGGTAAAACTAACTTAATTACTGCCATCTTAAGAGTGATTTTAACTTAAAAGTCTCAAGCTCTTGAAAAAAAAAAGTCAGAGACTTCAGACTCCTAAAATAAATTTCTTACTTGGAGAACTGCATTTGTTTAATCAAACAACTATATTTTGAAGCAGACTATTCATTCAACCTGAAGTTTGACAAACTAGTTTTCCTGTACTAAAACTGTGAATGACAAAAGAAATGAGATCATGTTGTAAACTGTCCCTTCATACTACATAAAGCTATGCATATCTAGGTATGTACAGAAAATAGCACACAATGACACTTGAAAAATAATCACACTGAAAAAAAAAGTACTATAAAATAATAAAAAGTTTGGTATCTTTCCTAAAATAACAATGTAAAAACTTATTGTTTCTCTGCCTCTTATCAACAGTTAATATCTTTGTTTACTGTGAAAAAACAAAACAAAAAACTGTATATCCCAGAGAAATCTTAATAGCTAAAATTAAAACCTGGCAATTAGTGGAAGTTGTTAATCGAGTAATCAAGCCCATTAACTCTTTCCATACAGGGTCAGTCACATTAACCTTGTAACCACAAAGTTTACATTAGTTTTCATACTTTAACTTCTAATGTTTTTTGTGTATATTCATGAATTTAGCAAGCTTTGAGTAAACATTACAAGTCTTTTGTATACAAAAAATCTGATTTTTTAATTAAGTATTTTTACTAAAGATTTGTTCATAAATATATGGAGTTAGAGTATTGACTGCTCCAAGAGCAAAGTGATTTTCATGTTAAGATTAAAAATACTTTTCTTCATCTGAACATTATCAAATTTAATTTGCATAATCTCTAAAACCTTGTAAATAAATATCAAACTTTTTTTTTCTATAAAACCTTATATTTTAACTGTTATTTTCTCTACCCTAATTCTATATGGACTCAGTCAATTTGACCAACCTTGTAACCACCATAAAAAGTCCAAAAATCTAACTTACCCTTTTTTCTTTCTTTCTAGAATGATAGCAGATTGTAACTGAAAACAACAGTTGTTTATCCTAAATGGCTAAGGCTCATAACAGTATACATCAATTTATACTTAATTTTATTGTTTTACTACCCTTTGAACCATGTTTAACTAATAATTCCATCACAAAAGTTGTAACTTATTTGGCAAATGCATAGCTCACATTACCATCTTGAATGATGTAGTGCACAAGTTGCTTGTGAGCACACTTCATAAATAATTTTTTTTTTCGTTATGTTATCTAGCCTAATAAGTTTCTAATTACTTTTATAAAAATATACATGAAAAACGAAAAAATATAGTACTTATGTTTGACATTTTTTTTTTGCTGTCAGTTGCCAATGAAATTTAAACCTACTTTATAATGATGGTACTAGATAATGCACCTACAAACACAGAAGAATAACATGCACAAACCAAACAATGTCCTATAACTATTATAACTTAACTGGCCTTTTAGCTAAGACAAGATGGGTTAAAGTAATTAACTTAGCTGCTCAATCTGAACTGAGGATGAAATTGTCAATATGTTCTACTGAAAACAGTGTAACATTATATGTTAATCGATAGATCAAAACATTGCCTTCCTATTGGTTATAAATGATACAGTATAAAGCATCAGAGAGAATTACTGGCAACTTGTGAAAGACATGATGTGACAGGTGGGTGTGGCAAGTGGGTCTAATTTTCTAGTTTTTGACTCCTTAAACAAATCAGATTGAAGACTATTAAAATTACACTTTGCATTAGTAATATTTGTAACGATCAAATTATGTACAATTCCATACTTTAGATAGGGGTTGTAAAAAATTAGAGAAAAAAAAGGACCAAAAAAACAAATGTCATGATACTCATACTAGTGATTAATCAATTATGATCAACTAAACTATTATTCTCAATAAAAAAAACCTAAAAATATTTTTTATTTGTATTTATGGAAAAGCTACTGAGGCTATCTGCCACTCAGCAACACCCAAACATCCACTGTTTTGTTGAAATGAAACTTTTAATGAATTAACTAATTCCAACATCTCTGCCCTTCAATTTATGTTCATAAAAGATTTGAGACTCCTTAAGTTGTGTATTGCCTTCTTAAATTGCACAAAAAGAGCAGGGTGTATATTTTGTTTGTCTCAAACACACAAGTTGCTAAAAACTGAAAACTGGCTCAAATGTTCTTGGGGCAAAGAGGATCTGGTCTCCCTTGCTATATTAAGTTACTGTCACGGCACCTAAATGTCAGTGACATTTGTCAAACACATGTTCATGATAAATTTTAAGTGAACTTCAATACTTTATTTTTACCACTACACCCTTGCAGAAGACATCTTACAATTCAGCTCGATTTATTTTCATAAATTTAGAAAGAATATCTTGCATAGACAATCAATGATTACGGTGGCATAGATAAGTTTCTACAAGTATACGGTTTAATTTGGAACCTTTGATGATCTAAACTGCTACTTGAAGAGCCTAGTCAAAAATTTATAAAAATTGCATGAAATAAAAATCCACTGAAATGAGTTTACTAACTCAAACAAACATTTGCTTTGGGAATTGGAGAAATTTATCTGTCATAATAGCAGAGAAAGTGAGATACTTACCAACAATAATGACTATGATAACTACACCAATTCCAACCATTATAGCAATCATCTGAAAAAAGACATTTCTATTATGGGATGTACTGTCCATTTTTTCCCCCAAGGATTAACTCTGCTAATACCTGGATATAACAGCTTTGAATATTTTAAATGGATAATGCACATTATTTACACAATACAACCACAGAATACAATATATAAACAGATTTAATTTTTATAAAATTTTAATCAAAAAATATATATATTACTATGAACAAGAAGCAGTTTTACTTTTATAAACTGAACAAACTTTTTACGAAACTAATTTTAGAATTTTATGCTGATTCTTTCTAAAAATGTACTTCAAAACAACAATGCTCAGAAAAAAATTTGTTCTGTCTACTGGAGTCAGCTATTACCATTGTTCCACCATAAAGGAAAAAAAAAAGATAAATATAAATTAATTGTAGGTGGAAATGAAAAAACTGATTTGTAATAACTGGTACTCCCTTTAAATAAAGACAAGTTGGCATAGGTTTAGAACTATGGTGTGATTCAGAAACAATAATGAACTGAAAACACAAATTAGGTTTTTAACTGAACTAAAATGTCTACAACTAATTATTTTGGGGAGGTATCTTTTAAGTTAATGATATCTTAGTAAATTTTACAAATGCATTTTGTATAAATGTCCTTATACAACTTGAACCTTAATTTAACTTGAATATTTTGAATAGTTTAAAGTTTCAATGTTGTAGAATAAATCCTAAAAAATAAGCAATTTTTAACTCACCTTGCAATTCTTCCACCAGAATTTTCTCTTCAATTTACCAGCCTGCTGTTCAAACTGTGATGCTCCCTGCTGCAATGCATCTGGTACCAAAACAAAGATTTATAAGCATGTCAAATTTAACCTTTGTTGAAATAACGTATTTTTTAATCAGTGCAGTTCACAGAATGATACCCCAATAATTACACACACAAGCAAAGGGTACAGTACCCCTTTAAACACTTTTCTGCATAAGTCAACCTATTACATTCAAAATTTAATCAAGCACCTTTACTATCAATTTATGTGAATTAAATTAACGTTACAGTATATGTTATGATTTGAAGTTTTAAGTTCTTTATTTCAAAAGAAACCTTTCAAAAAATTACTTAAAACTTCAGATGTATTGTCACATGACCAACAAGCTATGAAAATTCTCTTCTTTGACACTCTATCTTCAATAATATAATGGAAGTTGTGCAGATGTATGTTTATATTATGAGATGCTTACATAACCTTTTAACTCATACATTTCAAAGTTCTCTAAATTAATACAGTTGAAACAAGTAATAAATTTTGTCTACCCCTGATAGGTGCCAAGTCCACCTTCAACAGATTTGTTTGAGCTTTATTTTGAAAATTGGCATGCAGTTGTCATCAAGGGGTACATGTAACAAACTATGGTATTTTTAGCTGCCTAAACAACTATAGCACTATAGTTGGAGATACAGTTTAAATTGTATTCAGGTCTTACTTTTATATTTTAGTTAATTATATATTAGTTATGTTTTAAAATGCATAATTGAAAGTTTAAACATTTTAGAAATATACATCATACTTTGCATTAGTTTTCAAGGCTTACAATATTGTCCAGTGCATGAAAATTTAACCGAAGGGCAGCACATCTCCCAGAACCACTTTAATATGCCTCAAGGGCACCACTGACTTGTGTCAAAATGAAGAATAAATAGTAAAGAACAAGAAAGGAAAATAAAACATTAGAAATTAACTATATGTGAAAAAACCTGAAATTATGAATATAACCCAAACAATATCTTTAAAGATATTCTACAAAAAATTAAAAGGTATGTACTTTTTTCTATATCCTAATTTTAATCATATCATTGCACTTTGTTGATGATAATAGTTAGAGTTGGTGATATGGCAGAGAAAATGAAAAATAAAATATAAAAATTTACCATAAAAAACATTTAATATTCATTTAGGAGGTTCTATAGATTATGCAAATGAAATATGAAAACTATAAGATGAAGAAAAGTATTCTTATATTTAAAATGAAAGTTATCTTGCACTCAACCTATTTTAACAATTTGTATGGACTGAATTGTACTGTTTTTCTATCAATAAAAACGAATGTTGCTGGCTAAACTGAGACATGTTCAAAGCATGCCACTGAACTATGATGACCTCAGATCAATATGGCAGCCCTTGCAGCCTCATGTCATGCAGAAAGTAGTTCATCAAATTTGATAAAATTCTTCTTTCTAATCTGAATTTACTAATAATTTAATATCCAATTTTTTATTTCAACCATAAAATATTGACCTAGTTTCTCTTTACAAATATTCAATGTCTATATACAATGACATTGTTCAAAAATATTGCATTACTTCATACATAACAACCATGACAATTAATAACAGGATTTGAATTCAAAGGTATATATTTCTTGATAAGAACAAAAAGGCTAGTAGTAAGCCTAAAACAGTAAGCTTCATGACAGACTTGATGAGGGTGCTTTCCTGGTCATGTTCAAGCATCAGCGTAATGGTGCCTGTCAAATATGAATGACTGATATGTGTGTGTGTGTTGCATTGTCTACTCTTATGATATTAGATTCAGATGAAATTTGCCCAACATCAGGCCAGACTCTGACCACCCACTCAAAAAAGTTTTAAACAAACTTACATTTATCTCAGGACTCACACTTTTCATGTGAAATGGATAGATTCCATCAAATCTTTGGATTTTTCACACCCCCTGCTTATTTCAAAGTTTAATTGGCCCAATTTTGAGCCAAACATGATCAGATTAAAAAATATAAGGGAACCCTCAATAGCTGCAACACTTGAAGTTCTTTTAGATAGGATTAGAGTAAATTAATTTATGAGAACTTTTTTTCCTTTTTATTAGCTATATTTTTGTGCATCAGCAATACAAAGCATGGGGCACATGTATACACAATTTGATTTTGTTACTCATCACAGGATCTTTACAAGCCTTCGCTCCAATTGAAATTCTTTTACGGCAGGATTAGAGTAAATTAATCTATGAGACCTCTTGGGCATGGTGAAATATATCAATAAAAAGGATTTGACCTCCTGAGTCCAAAACTGTAATTAGATCTCAAATTGGTCAAGAGATGATGGAGCTATGAGCTAAAAGTTTGTACTTGAAAACCTCTGAGCCTCTATGCCACAGCCAATAACCTTTGTAGAAAAATCAATATCATAATGATATTTATCATTTTAGGGATTATCTTAAAGGTTATTCATTTACATATCAATCTTTGATTGCTAGTTATTGTCAACTACATTTTTATACACATTAAAATATTTAAGTATCTTTTATTAAACATTCTAACCAAACCAATTTAAATTAGTCTTACTACCTAATATATTTTAACTCATTTATCAGAAAATATTACTTAAATTTACATTTGTTGTTGAATCATGATTATAATAAAGAAATATTAATTTTGACTGTGAAAACAGAATGCCTTCAGGTCTTTAGGTAACAAACCATGAACATTATTCACACACATATAGAGATATGCCTATACTTCAGGAGTTACTCCGTAAGAGAGGCTAGGTGAAAATAAAGGAATACAAAAACAGAACTGACTTGAAAATAAAACATCAGTATATATACAAAATGAAAGTAACAGTGCTTTAGTCACTTTGCAGCAAAAGCTAAGTGAAGGTGATTTGTAAGATACTAAGATATTTTTTATAGTTTCATGAAAAGGAAGATTTTACAGTACCAAAAACACTGCAACAAATAAAGAATATATTTCATTATCAAGTGTGAACAATAGCTCATCAAAATGTAATACTGTATTATTAGACAAACACTAAGCTTAAAAAAAACAAAGATATAGCTAGTCTGTCAAAATCTTTATCAAATGATACTTTAAACATTGTTCTAGGTGTAAATTTATACCCTTAAGACATAAATTTCATTACTGTTTGGATAATATGTTATTTTGAAATGTACTTAAAATTAACTTTTCCAAACTACAAAAGTAGCTCATTAATAAGGTAAGCAGAAAGATATCTATTTTTCAAGTTTTGGTGATTTCTAACCTTTGGTTTGCAATTAAAAGCCTAAATTAAAAACATACGCATATTTTAATGCATGTATATTTCAAGCTTTGAGGCATGATAAGCATCTGTCTCATTAATTCCTAACTACTCATAAAATACCTCTTCTTTAAACTGTAACCATGTGAAAACATAAGAAAAAACATACACTTTTGCAGATGAAACTCTGTACTATACTAAGCACCATATTATCTATCTACTCTTGCAGGCTTATAAAACTGAAAAATCATTCCAAGATTGTCAAGCATCAAAATCCATTATTACCTGCACGATCATCCAACTCAGATAGTTTCTGATCCCGTTCCAAAACTTTCTCCACATTGGTTTTCATAATATCCACAACCTGATAAAGGGTTAGGGTTATTAGTCAGCTTAATAGTGTTACAGGATATTAAGACAAACCAAAGGCAAGTTCACTTAGATCTCAGAGGAAAAGAGCCAGTTTTTGTGAAGATAGGGAAAAATTTATAAAATATAAATAGGCTTGTGATTAGATATATTAGGCATTGTAAAGAAACTTAAACATTAAAACAAGCTTGTTATGCAAGCTGACATGTTAATCATTTTTGTAATAAGGTTTTGTCATGATCAGTTAAGTCAACTATCAACAAATACAATTTGTTAAGATAATGAACAAGATATATGGAGAAGTGAGTCATCTTCCTGCTAAAGACTACTTAGTTGCAATTTTCACATAAAACAGGAGATACAATACAAAGACCCTACTGTGCATGCAATAACTTATTTACAGTCCAAAGCAAATAATGATTTTATACAAAATTAAAACCACAAACTTTGCTAACTTTTAATTTTTACCTTGAATTTGCTTCTGTAATTTAACATTTTACTATATAAGTAATTAGTTAGGTGTCAAGCATAAAGTTTTAAGCATAATATTTTAACAACCAAAAGCAACAATATTTAAAAGTTCTAAGGTGGCACAAACTAGTTTTATAAAAATGCAAAACTTTCATTACATCTGGGCAAAAATATGCAAGAGATAGTAAGATACTGGTAGTAAAGTGGAACTTTTAGACAAAATTTATTTAACTGAATGTATTTTTTTAATGTTTAGCTTCAATTATACTTGATACAAAGAAAAATTATTATTCACTTTTAATACGTATGCTGAAACATCTCAGTTTATTCTGAGTTCAGAATCATAGCAAAGTCACTTGCAAATTTCATGTGATCACTGGTCTACATATATTTCACTAAAATACTTCCAGCTCAACAAAAATATTTCAATGTATTTTTAATCAGTTTTTCTGTTAAGCAATCAGAATGGCATTTATGCTTAGAAGTAAATGTAAAACTGCTGAAAAAATCTAAATAGCCAAAAATAATCATTGAAATAAGTAAGTCATAGTTTTGTTCTTTACAGCCTTGTTTCATACCTTTATAGATGTTTACATTGTATATTGGATGATAAGTATGAAGTTGTTTGCTAACCTTAAGTCTGTGTACTGACTGGAGTTTCAGATATACTGATTATTTTATATGTATGTATTAAAATAAAAAGAAGAAGCCATTATCTAAATGTATTTTTTATTAGAAGGAATACTGGATGTAAAGTGAATGAAGAGTTATGCAAAATAAAAAGCACAAAAAATAAAACTTAGAACAAACTAGAATAAATATTAAAAAAGAAAGTGTTTCAGGTAAAGAAAATCTGTCAATCAATGAATAAAAAACAAGGTAAATGCACACATTTGAAATGATGAAAAGAAAATGTCATGTCATGGTTTCAGTGCTTTAACCCTCATCAAGCCTGGATGTATTGAATCAACACATTTTTTTTTTTAATTTTAAAGAACCAACTGGGTGAGATAGTTTAAAACTTCAAAAAACTTTCTACAGTTGGCTTCTGCTCACAAAATATCTTATTTTTCTATGTAATATTTGTTTTAATTTGCAGCTTGAAAATTTTGAAAATATTTCATTGTGGGAAGTTTTTTTAAGAAACAAAAATATTTCCCTTTGTTGTAGATTTTTTTATTACTGATATGTATTCTTCCTACATTATCTTTAAACTTTCCTATAAAGTTTTCATTTAAAAAAACTCAATGCTATGTTTGTTTTGATTTGAAAAATACTGCACTCAATTTCATTGTGTTTACAATCACTGGCTTACAATAAAAATACCTTATTTACTAAACCAAAATTATAAGCAAGCCAACATTTTAAATTTTAACGAGAAGGTTTCACTTAATATATGTAATGTGTTTTAAACCCATTTCATATTCATTTATGTATCTTTTCTGACATTGGTTTTAGGTGACTTTCTTTGCCCACTAAAGTAATTACTTAGGTCGATAATGTCTAATTCAACAAAATCCTAACACAGTGGCCTTGTTGGCAAATTAAACATGACATGGTCTAACTCCAAGTGACTTTAGTACGCCTACCTCAATTTGTCCCATACAAACTTGTTCTTTTCCTATCATACAGCAACATCATAATTCAAATGAAGTATAAAATGATAAAGTAAGATGGAAAATAAATATATATATATATGTATTGGGGCTACAACCATAAAGCAAGTTATTAAAGAATATATTTCTTTCTAGCAATTTATCCCCAAACTAATCTACACAAAAGCTGAGGTATACAAGTTATGCTACAAAATGAAAAAAAACTGGTCAAAAATCAATAAAACTTCACCTATGTTCAAAATAGAATGTCATTTTAGAGCTTTTATTCAAAATTATTACTTTCCTATTTAGAGGGCTACAAGTGCTGTATAATGCTTATAAGAATTTCAGAAAATTAATAAACACAAATGCTGAAATCAACACAAAATCAAAATTTGTATATACAAAATTTAATAAGCTTAATATTTTGTTGAATAAATTTCAACTCTGAAATTTATTTTTAATGCATGCAAGAACAACTACAAATTGGTTTTCATAATTTTGTTTAAAGAATTGCATAAAATCTTAGCTAGTAATCGATATTTTAATAGTATACAAGTTAAGTTCTTAAATCTACAAGGAAATATCCTGACCCACGTGACACATTTTGTCTTAGCATGTTATCATCCCTATTTTATTCATCACCTCTCGAAAATGTATGAAATTAAATGTAAAATACTCTTTATAAAATCTTTATTGCTCAAACACACCATAATTTTTATAGCCTTCAATTTTGTTTGGTTACAGAGCTATCCAATAGAAAATCAGACCCCTCCTGCCACACCCACCTGTCACATCCTCTCTTTCACAATTCGTTGATAGTTCTCTCTTACGTTTCATTATATATATTACCTATAACTAATAGAAAGTCATATAATGGTTGGAAACGGCTTGAATGGGTAATGAAGAAAAACTTTAACATAAGTTTAACATAACAGGAAATGTACAAAGTTTTGACAAAGTTTTGTCATAGAATTTTGATAGAAAGTCAAGATTTTCATCTATCAAATGATGTATTGTATAACATTGTATTCTGAACAGAATATTGTCAATTTCACTCACAGTACAAGATTCACTCCCATGGGAAAGTTAATGACTAGCTTGGATGAATTTGTAACAGCTCTTGTCGCATAGTTACAAAGCCAGGAAAATTTTGAAAGGTAAATGAATATGTCAACTTTTTGCATGTTATTAGTCTATATTCTTTGGTGCATTATTTAATTAAACAAAAAATTTTTAAGTGCATTACAATAATTACTATAAAAAATCAGGCTTAACTGTCCTCAACAATCGAGGGCAAGAAAAAAAAAGATTGGGTAAGTGCTTTATTTCTTGTTTGTCATATTTATTTTTGATTATAAAAGTACCTAAAATCTAAAAATATGGATTTTTTTTAAATTATTTAAGACTAGATTAGGTAAAAAAAAGTAATAATAATAATATAATTAAAATGGTTCACAAGGCATGCTCATGGGTAATGTAATTCAACAGCATAACCTGAGCTGCATGTTCCCCTGAGTGATTTACAACTTATAATTGTGCTGATAGTAGTTAGACATGGATTATAGGGCAATAAAACAATAAAATTTAATTATAAATAGAGGTATAATGTTACAAACTTAGAGATACTTAGGATAAACAAATGTAGTTTCATGTTACAATTTGAAGTCCTTCTAGAAAGAAAAAAGTTAATTTAGGTTTATTTCAACTTTTTTTGGTGGTTACAAGGTCAGTCAAATTGACCA